GTGGGGGAGGTACGATGACAGCTGGACACTCCGCTTCACCGCTGGGGCTGAGTCCCTCTGCTCGGGCCCTTTCCCTCAGTTGTAGCTTGGGACCTGGCCTCTGTGGTGGCCTCTTCCCCATTAGGGGAGGATGTTTTCAGAGGCCTTTAACAGCTGCCTTTTTTCTTGATGAGGTTTTGGGGTGTTTCCAGGGCCCCGGTGCCGTGCTGCTTTTCCCACACACCCCAGCCCCGAGGTCTGTCTTCAGCTCGCCCTGTGCCAGGCACTGGGGTCCAGCAGCGAGCAGGACAGACCTAGCCTCTCCCTCAGGCGGCCCCCTCCTGGTGGCTTGGCACAGTGGATCTGGTGCAGCCGATGCGAGGGGCACAGATGTGCCTGCCCCAGTGCCAGGGGCACGGACGCGCTCATCTGCACTCTCGTTAGTCATCCGTGTCTTTAGAACTAGCGTCTAGATCCTGGTACCCGGTCACCTTTTCCTGGCTTTCCTCTAAAGTGTCTCCTCTGTTCCGACTTCCCTCCAGAAGGCCGGCTTCCGTCCCGTGGCCGGAAGGTCACCAACAGGTTCTCTGGCTGTTTAAGGTCACTGAAGCAGAGTGAAGCCGGGGCCTGCTCTTCTGAACCAAGGCCCCTATTCCTGACACTGTGTCGCAGGCCAGGGTCTCAGGAGCAGACGCTGAGACAGATGTTGGGGCATAGGATGTGTGTTGAGGGCCAGCACCTGAGATGGGAGCTGGGCTAATGCGGGTCTGGGGAGGAGAAGGGCCAGCTCAGGTGGCCGGGCCAGCAGGGAGCCCGGCAGGAGAATTCCTTCCTCACAGCCCTCCCACATCAGGCCAAGCCGACTGGGACTCATACGGCCTCGTGGGTCACCACATGGGCTGCCTTGGGCAGCTATGACTTGGTAAGGTGGCTCTTGGTGGGTTAAAGTAGGTGCCGCAGGAACCCGCGGGCTCATCCGCTGGGTGCGCTGCCTGCCCCTGGGCTCCTGGACCACAGCCCACCGTGCACCGCTTAGCACTCATGCCCTGAGGTGGGCGTGGCTCTGCCAGGCACGAAGAGAGAGAGAGAGGAGGCTCTGCGGCTGGCAGCGTCCCCCGCTCCAGCTACTGCTCCTGCTGATGGTGTGGCTCGTCACAAGAGTCTGCGCCCCTGGTCGCTGACCCTACTAGGTTCTTCATGAGCTTTCCGGCCTCCCTGTGGAGCGGGTGCCCTGCCTCCCGCTGATAGTGTCCACTATCCCCGCCAGCGTGGGGCCTCTGCTGGCTCCTGAATGCGAGTTGTCCAACATGCCCAGGAGACAACCGGGGTTTGTGACTTAGCAGGTCTCTGGCTGGGGCCTAGGGAACGGGGAGCCTTGGTGGTGACCACATCCCCAACCCTGTAGGGCCCAGAGCTGTGAGGATGGGCAGCAGGGTCCCCTGTGGGTCACCAGGATGGATGGGAAGTAGAGCTCCTGCCACCCCCGCCCCTTCCTAGACACTTGTCCCGGGGCCTGGTCCCCTGCACAGTCTGACACTTTGGCACTGTATCGGGGTGGCCATCGTTTCGTCCCTGGGTCTGTCCACGTACCAGCCTCGGGCTGCACGCAAACAAGACTGGCGGACTACCCGTGCCTGCCACAGGGGCCCTTCTAGCTTCCCTCCCTCCAGGCCACACCCGAAAGCTCTCCGTCGTGCGGTCATGGGTGACGCTGCCATCGGGGTGCCGTGGGGCGGAGGCAACCCACTGTGCCCCCAGTCCTACCCCTGCTCAGCCCCCAGTGCCCAGCTCCATTGCTCCCGGTGCCGCCGGCCATCACCTTACACCCGTCTGCCAGGCCAGGTCGTACACCCCGAGGGCTGTGAGGGGATTCCCCGGGCTTGCCGTGAACCCCGTGCGGTACCCCTTCCTGCTACGGAGACCTCTGTCGCAGGGCCCGCCAACTCCCAGCTCTCAGCAGCAAGATAGGGCCTGCAGCCCTCTTACCACCTAGCACGTATGCTACAGAGGTCCCTGCTTCTGTGTGATTTGCGGGCTGCGGGATCCAGACGGCCACGCGTGTCGGGCTTCCTGTAGCGAGTGTGGATGCTGAAGCCTGTCTCGTGCTGGGGCGGTCGCTTTCAGTTTGCCCACGTTACACCCCGAGAATTCTCCGGAGCTGTCAGGCCTGCGCATCTGTGGGGTCGTCAGCTCGCGGACTGCGAACTGGCACCTGGCGTCCTGTTGCGTGTAACGTGCGGGTGTCCCCAGCCTCCGGGCTCTAGTGACAGCTGGGGGCAAAGTGGCAGAGATGCTGCTGTCTGCTTGCCAGACGGGGATGCTTCCGGGTTGTATTTTTCGATTAGGTAGAATGTGGGCTTACCAAACGTGTGGCTGCGTCACCCATGCCCCGCACTCCAAGGGCCCGCCCCCACGCGCCCCGTTTTGTCCATCTGTCGAGATTCCCTTTGCCGCGTGACACTTCCCCAGGCCTGGGCTCTGATGCCGCTGCTGTGTGCGTGCCTGGGCTAACCGCCTCCTGCCCCAGTCCGGCCCGCAGAGCTCAGTGCTGCTGGTCTGGTCCTCGGCGCCGCCCCTCCCTCCCTTCGGTGGCTGTTGCGTGGCTCCCGAGCAGTATGGCCATCGGCTTGCTGTCCATACTGGCATGTGATCTGGCTAGCATCCTTCCTCCACTTCCAGGGCTGTGTGGGGACACCCTATCCTTCCCCTGCCCCCTCTCCACCAGCCACCATCAGACCGACGATCGTGGGCGGCTTTCAGGAGCAGATGCTGAAGTGGGGTTTGGGGGCACGGTACCTGGGAAATGACAGTGTTGCCCGAGGTCAGCAAGCTGTTCCCAAAGGCCTCCAGGGCCGCCTCACTCTGCCCTACCTTCTGCCCCCCAAAGGCGCCTCGGAAGGGCCTTCCAGTTGGCGGCTGGCCCTGGGGTGGCCAAGTGCCTGTGGCCCAGCACCCCCTTTCTGCCCCTCCCCAGTACTACGCGGAGTGCCACGGTGTCATCTATGTCATCGACTCCACAGACGAGGAGAGGCTGTCCGAGTCCAAGCGAGCGTTCGGTGGGTACAGCCCGGCTTGGGGCTGGGGAAATGGTCAGGTCCAGTCTGCCCACCCCAGGTGCCTGGAGCTGACCCTGGTGGGGGATGGGGCCCACGCCAGGTCAGGCAGGGCTGTGGCCAAGAGAGAGCACACGTGGTGTGGAGGGGTGGGTGGGCCTCGGCAGCCACAGGCAGATCGAGGGTGCTCACTGCCCCCTTTCTGCCCACTCCAGAGAAGATGGTCACGAGTGAGGCACTGGACGGTGTCCCCATCCTGGTGCTGGCCAACAAGCAGGACGTTGAGGTGAGCTCACTACAGCATGCCCACAGGGCAGTCCCCAGCAGAAGCACGTCCCACTGACAGCTGGGACAGGGTGCCTGTCCTGGACCTCCCAGGCCAGGTGTGCTCTAGGTGCACCTGGGCCTCTCGTGCGGGGCACCTTCTCTGCACAGGCAGGTGGGCGGGCAGTATTCCTCTGCCACTGGCGTGGCTGGACATGAAACGCAGAGGCGTCCCAGGGTGAGAGTCAGCTCCGATCTTGGCCTGTCTGCTGCCCTTGGGATCGCCTCAGCTGGCCAGTGGATGCTCAATGGCAGTCTGTGTGGAGAGGGCTTTGCAGGGCAGTGTCCTGATTCTGCAGCAGAGGCGCTCTAGGGTCAGGGTGCATCGGAGATGGCTTCCTTCTGCCTGCGGTCCCTTTCCTACAGCCCTTCCGTGCCACCCGCTCCTCCTCCCGAGACTGCTCTCTGCAGGGCCTCTCCTAGGCAGAGAAGCCCTGAGCCCAGCCTCTCCCCACCAAGACCACGTCCTGCCCCAGGAGCAGGACATCTGCAGCGCCTGCGACCTTGCCCCTCACAGCCTCCCCTTCCCCCAGACTTGCCTCTCGATCCCCGACATCAAGACTGCGTTCAGTGATTGCACCTCCAAGATTGGCAGGCGCGACTGCCTGACCCAGGCCTGCTCGGCCCTCACTGGGTGAGTGGGGCTCTCCCTGCTGTGGGCTGGAGGCCGGGCTGGCCCCACCTCATGCTTACTGTCTCCACAGCAAAGGGGTGCGCGAGGGCATCGAGTGGATGGTGAAGTGCGTCGTGCGGAACGTGCACCGGCCGCCGCGGCAGAGGGACATCACGTAGGCATGGCTGGTGCCTGCTGGTGCCCACAGCTCACCCCTGAGTGCCCGAGGAGCGCTCCTGCCAGCTCTGAGCCGCCAGGCCTGGGGGTCGGGTTTGCTTTGCTCTTGGTTTTTTCAGTTGCTTTGTTTTTTCTTTAAGACAAACGTTTCCCTGTGTCCGTAAAAGTGTGGGCATGCAGAAGCCTCTGCTGAGGGGGAATCGGGGCAGCAGGGCCAGGCTGGGTGCCACCAGGGGACCCCCACAAGACCCCTGCCAAGCCTGCTGGTGTTGGCGGGCCACCTGGCCCTTTGGAGCCGCCACCCCAGCAGTGTGGCCTGCCTGGCCCAGGGGGCGGAGGGGCACCTGTCTGGAAACGAGATGCTCCAGAGCTGCTCTGTGCCGTTCACCCATGGAGGAAGCTGGTGGGGCAAGTGTGTCTGTCCTCAGTCTCCGTCCCCTCTGGGCCTGGAGATGGGTTGGGGGCTGGTGTCATCTTGAGGGAGGAGGGAGACCTGGTCCACTTTGCTGGAGGCCAGCGGGGCCCTGGGTTCTGATGCCTCAGAACAGGGTGGGGGAGATCTGCCTGGGAGGCCCCGTGTCCTCTTCCGCTGGCCTCCCGTCCGGTCAGGGAGGGAGTGGCTGTTCCCTCTGAGCGTGTCTGCCACTGGTGCAGGACAGCCAGTCGCCATTGTGGGGGGCACACCAGCATGGGTGTTCCAAAGGCCAGCTAGGTTCCTGTGGAGCCCAGGCCAGTTGTGGGATGGGCCTTGATTTGATTCCCAGTTGGAGGTGAGGGGTGGGGTCCCCATCAGGTCTGGGGACGGGCTAAAAACCCATTTCTGGGTCTGTGCCTGGAAACCGTCCCTCCGGGTGAGGCTGGTCCTTGGGACCCTCACCACATGCCCCCTGTGGGAGCTGGCAAGACCCAGTGGGCCTAGCCCTGGGCAGGAGGCTGACTGGCCAGCACTGGGTGGAGTATGCCAGAAAATGGCAGTCTGAGTCGCTGCTGTCTGTTGTCCCTCCAGAACCCCAGGACTGGGTGGTGGGCTCCCAACTGTCTGGGCACAGTGACCACAGCACGAAGGGCTCCCAGGCTAGACCCAGGGCCTGTCTGGGCACCACCTTCCTGCTTCCGTGGGAGTGCCAGAGCCAGAACCCTGACCCTGCTAGACTACCCTCCCTCCCTCCCTCTGAGGTGGCAGCCTTGGAGGGCCTACTGAGAAAGGCTGAGTCAGGGCTGGGGGTGGGAATGCAGGTGAGGTGACTCATGGGGAGTCATAGGCTGTGGGGTCCCCCCCCCCCTTTGGGACCTATCATGGGGATCAGGCGCCAGGCTCCGGGGCTCACGGGAAGGGCTGGGAGTCGGCCAGGTTGTTCTGGAGCGCTCCAGCCCTCATCTGAGCCTTCCTGTGGGGAAAAGCCGTGTTTCCCAGAAAGCACATGGGATTCACCCGGCCTAGGGGAGGTCCTTGGCTGGTCCCCTCCGGGGAAATTCCCTGCCTGCAGGGACTGGGTGGAGCTCAAGTGGAGGGGCAGGGTGAGGGGGAAGGGTCTCTTGGCAGCCCAGGTTAGTGTTGGCCGGTCCAAGCTGGGTCCTATTCCACGGCAAGAGCCCCTAGACTGGGTAGGACCCTCACGACACTCCCCCCCCCCCCCCAGCTGTCCTACGCACAAAGCATGACTCGGGGTCATGGGACGAGCCTCAGGGATCTCCACTGTGCCCACAGCCAGAAGGGATGCACCTGCCACCCGCTGGCCCTCTCTGACAGTCCTTCCCACCGAGGGTCTATCCCACTTGGGGTGACCAGCAGCCAGAGGAAGCATGGGACGCTACAAAGCCCGTGCAGGTGTTTGTTTCCCCACCAGGTGTGCCCGCCAGCACCCGGTAGACATGGCACAAAGTTTCATACGATCCGTTTTATAACGGCTTTATAAAAAATAAACTTTGTTACTGTAATGGGACCCCGGTCGGTTGAGCTTACTTCAGTAAGTCACTTTCGGTGTGATGCCCATGTGGGAGCCCCAGCTGGGGAACAGAATAAATAGGGGGCGGGGTGCTCAGCGTGCCCAGAAGCGTGTGCGGACACTGCGTTCCAGCCCAGGCAGCCGGGCTTCGCGCAGGGCCCGCAGCAGCCGCACAGCCAGCGCCCCAGCCTGCGCCTCACGGAGCTCCAGGAGCTGCTGCCTCAGCTTCGGCTGCAGGCCGTTGCGACCCTCCCTGGGTGGCACTAGGCCTTGTGCTTCTGGGCCCCTGAGCGCCTGCCACAGCCGCAGGAGCTTCTTGAAGGACCAGTCCTGGAAAGCCACGAAGTCAATGACAGCGCGCTCACACTCCTCGGCTCCTGCGGGGGGGGGGGGGGGGGGCGGTCAGGACCCAGTGGTAGAGGCCTCCGTGTGCTCTGGGTGTGGAGGGGAGGGACACCCGACAAGGGAGAAATCCCTGCCCACTAACAGGTCCAGTGCAGAGGCGGAAGAAGAGGTCAGAGAGCGTGCAGGGGTGGGAAGGGAGATGCGGTTTAAACTCCCTGGGAGTCCGTTTCCCAAGGGGGGTGGGTGGGTGGCTGGCGTGGCCTGCGGAGGCACTGGTGCCACGCCACCACCGCAGGGGACTCCCCAGGTAAGTTTCTGGAGGACCCTCCCAGAGGATGGATAAACGTTGCATACCTCAGGGCTGGACTCTGGCCTGGGGACAACGGACACAGGCTGACCTCCTCTGACTCGCGCTCCCCCTCCCCTGCTCACCTGGCCCCCCTGGCTCCGGGGTGCCCAGTGGGAAGCCGGCGCAGCTAGTGCACAGGGCGTCGTGGGAGGCGGAGCCGGGCACGTTGAGGACGAGGCCCAGGGCCGTGCAGTTGCGGTGGGGCTGGCACTGTTCCGAGCTCGAGCTGCTGGCAGAGAAGGTGCCCGGGGGGCACGGCTGGCATTGCGTGTTCTGGCTGGGGGTGCCTGGGGACGAGATGGGGAGGAAGGGGTCAGGGGGAGCCAGGGGTGCCGTCCTCACCGGTGGCTGAAGTCCCAGGCCGCCGCCCGCCAGCCCGGCCGCGCACCGGGGACAGTCACGCCCGCGCCGGGCGGGCAAGGCGCGTGCTCCAGGCAGAAGCCCGCGTGGGCGAAGAAGCCGGGGCGGCAGCGGCAGGCGCGGTTGTGGGTGGCGTCGCAGGGCCGCGCCTCCTCCTCGCGTTCCCCGCAGATGACGTTGCAGTAGCGGCAGCGCTCCAGGTAGTTCCAGAACTGCGTGTAGTGGCGCGGAGGGCACGCGCCGCACGTCGTGGGGGCATCCCGACGGCACGGCCGCTGCACGAAGGTGCCCGGGGGGCACTGGCCGCACACCAGCCACTCCCGGGTCTCCGCGTCCCGCCACGGGTAGGTGAGCGCGCCCGCCGTCGCCGTCGCCGCCGCCCCCTGTGCCGCCAGAGCCAACAGTAGGGTGGGCAGCGCCCAAGGCCGGGTCAAGGGCGGCGGTCCCCGCCTCTCCAGTGCCCACATGATAGTCACCGGAGCGGCGGCTCGGCCTCCGGGAGGCCCACGAGCGAGGACACGGGGACGACGCGTCCTACCCTACCTGTCGCCACCCCACAAGCTCGCCCGTCGGCGGCCAGCGCCGGCCTATATGGCCCGGCCTCGCCACGCCCCCGGGGGGAGGGCTCACGACCTCCACGGGGCCGCGCTGCGACCCGACTTTCGGCGACGTCACCGCCCCACGGCCCCTCCCTCCCCAGGGAGCCCCCTCACCCCGCCTCCCGCCTGGCGCCAGCCTCCGCCGGGCCTTAGTCCAGGGGGCGGTCCTGCGAGGGCCTCCCCAGCACCAGGGGCAGCTCTCTACCCGGGAGCAGGGCTGGCAGCCGGGGTGCAGGCTGGGGATGCCTGGCTCCTCTCTTCTCTGGTCTCAGCCATCTGCCGGTCCACCTGTGAGGACGGAGGCTGAGCCCAGTTGGGACAAAGCGCTCAGCGTGCCCTTTCCCGGACAGGGTGGGACGACCCTACTCAGATGCCCACGTCTTCCTTCCCAGCACCCTCAAACCCCATTGCCAAGTCCAGACCCTACAAACAGCGTCTGGATACGGTATCCGCAACTTTATTAGAGAACCTGTCACCTGATTAAAAGCAGGTCCACTGCGCGCGCGCACACACACAGGTCCCGGGGAGGAGGGAGCAGAGCGTTTCCCCCACCTTCCAGTCCTGGGCTCAGGCCGCAGCAGCCAAGCGCCTGAAGCTCCACCCACAAACAAGGAGCCAAGGAAAGTTCTGAAGAGGTACCTTTTAGCAGACCCTCCCCAGACCCTAAGGGTACTTCGGGGCTTCTCATAGGCAGGCGCCGATCCTGCTGCCATTTCAGGGGCATCCCCACGGGCACTGGCCTGGCCCGTGGCCCGCACCCCGTGAAGGGACAAGTGTCCCAGCTGCGTCTGGGACAGAGGCGGCGTCCGCCTGCCCGAGGGTCTCCAGCCTCACTGGGGCTCTGGCCAGAAGACCTGCGTGATGCTCTGCTTCCTGGCAGGGGCGTGGCAGGCCGGGCAAGTCCTAGAGGCCTGCGGAGATAGGGCAGTGCTGCACAGGCGCCGCCCCCCGCACCCCCCAGCTCCCGGCCCCCCCAGGTGGCGGACGCGCAGCGGGCGGGTCCGCAGGGTCCCGCCGCCAACCTGGAGGAGCCGTCGCCAGCAGGCCCGGCAGCGGTGAAAGTTGCAGGAAGGGCACTGGAAAGGGACCGTGTCCTCCGCCCCGCAGCCGGGGCACGCCGAGCCTGCTCCAAGGGGGCCGCTGTGAGCGCCGCGGCAGCTGCGCCGCGCCCACTGCCCACACTCCCTGCGGCCCCTCCCAGGAGACCTACCGGACTCGGAGGGCGCGTGCCTGCGGGGGGCGCTGGGGGGCTGGCTGGGAGCCCCCGCATCCCCGGCCTGCCTCGGTCTAAGGAAGGCCAAGATCTTGCTCTGGGTCCTCCCCGGTTTGTCCTGTCCTGGGGGGCCTGGAGACACAGGCACGAGTCTGAAAGGGTGGTTCGGGCTGATCTGCGGCCCACCTTGCAGGGCTGCGTGGGGCTCCAGGGGTACCAGGTGGTCTCCCCCCTGCTCCCCCCCCCCGCCGCCGCTACCTGGCCTGGAATCACCGTGGGCGAGGTCGGGAGGCACGGTGGGGGTCCCGTCCTGGGGACCCGGCGGCTCAGGGCCCGCGGTCGGGGCGGCCGGGCCCATCAGGTCAGCGCACACCTGCCGGAAGCGCTGCTGGTGGCGAGGTCTCAGGAACGCGCCAAACCCTGTGGGGAGAGCGGTCAGGCCCCGCCCGCAGCGCCCGGCCCGGCCCGGCGCACCCCCAGCCCCGCCCCCTCCGCGGCCACTTGCTCTCCAGCAGGTGCAAGTCCTCGGGCCTTGAGGTAGTGAGTGCGGCCGCCACGGCCACCACCTTCTCGAAGTCACCGTCCCGTCTGTAGGCGGTGAGCGCTGCGAGGAGCTGGCTGCAGCCTACGGACCCCAGGGCCTTTCGGACATCGGCCAAGTAGGCGCTCCCCACAGGCGGGCCTTGCTTCTCCACCCTGGGGGCTCCAGATCCACCCTCTTTTGGACAGCTGCTGGGGTCTCCTGGTGGGGAGGTGGACAGGATCATGGCGGGGATCTGGGGCCTGAGGGAGCTCCCCTGGCACCCTTCACACCAGCCTGCTCCCTCGCTGTGGGGTTGCAGAGCCAAAACGGCACCCGCGCCCCCCAGGGCTCTTGTGCTCTGCTTCGAAGCCTCTCTGGGGACTGGTACCTGCCGGGGCTAGTCCGGAGACCAGGTGAGGCCTGCCTTGATTCAGGTGCTGTCCAGGGTCCAGTTGCCCGGCTGCATCCCGGGACAGGGTCAGCTTTGGGTCACACTCCCTCCTTCCTGAAGAAACGGGGACACACAACGAACCACCCAGCTGGTTCCCAAGGGTCTGGAGTGCTCCCTGGGGAGGAGGCAGGTCTGTCCAAGGGGAGACTGACACCTGCCACCCTCCTCTGCCCACAGCATGACCCAGGCTTGAGCCCCCACCACAACCAACTGCTGCCAGGGGACCAGCAGAGACACCCCAGTGGGCACCAAGCCCAGAAAGGAGAGGGGTGACTCTTTTGCCGGAAAGTCCCCTCCTTGGGGCCAAGGGGTCTTCCTAAGCCAGCTCCCCACCCCCCTCCCTGATACCTATCCTTGGGGAAGTCCCTGATCGGGGGTGAACTGTTTGCAACCGGGGACACAGGCTCCCAGGCTCTGAGGTGCAGGGCCCACTCCTGGCAGACACAGGTGGGGACAGGGTCCCAGCCTGGGCCATGCATGCTCTGGGGGACACACACCTCACCCTCAGCGGGCTTCCATGGGTGAACAGTCCCACCCACGAGCAGGGAGGCTGGGCCAAGCTAGCATTGCCCACCACCCCGCCCCCCGGACCCGGGGTGCCGCCCGCTCACCCCTGGGGGCCTGGGCTGACGGAGCGCCCCGCCTCTGAGGAAGGCTGTGCTCAGGCCGGTAGCCGCAGCCATGGCCTGTCCACTGCAGGCAGACCTCCTCAAACTGCTGCTTGTGGTGTGGCCGCACGAACTGGTAGAAGCCTGTTGGAACGGTTCCACCATGCGGCCCCCGCGTGCTGAGCTGGGTGGAGGGCTCTGGGGTCAGGGGCTGTGCACCAGAACCTTTTCTGGGGAGCAGGGACAACCACGGACCCTGGTGCCCGCCCACAAGCCCCCCTCCCCGCCACAGCTGCCGCACTGCCCCCGGGTCGGGGGACCACCGTGGGCCAGGGCACCTTGGAGCAGGCCGTGCTTCTTGGGATCCTCAGCAAAGAGTGGGCCGAGGCAGGCCACCAGAGCCTCAAAGTCGTCAGAGCCCTTGTAGTCCTGCAGGGCCCTGGTGAACGTGTCGAAGCTGGCCTGGCTCAGCGCCTGCTTCACGGCCACCATGAACAGCTTGGCCCTGCCCGCCTGTGTACTGGCCGCCGGCCCCTCCTGCTGGACACAGGGCCAGGGGCCCCATCAGTCAGGACCCACCCTCCCCTGTCCCAGGGACACTGGGCTGCTGCTGTGGAGCACAGGCACTGGGAGGGACACCCCGGCTCCAGGGCACGGCTGGCCTGGCCCCAGGAGGGAATCCACAAAGACAGCCATGCCCCTTGGAGAGCAGCAGAGGCCAAGTGTAGTTTTGCTTCCCCTGGGTCGGGAGCTCCTACTCCTCAGCCAAGTTCCCTGCGCCCACGCAGCAGCGGACAGCCCCAGCCCGAAGGATGGTCAGCCCACAGCAGAGGGAACTTCTGACCAGATGGGGGACCTAAGACATCACTGTGCCTCACTCGTGCTGCACAGCTCAGGCCCGGATGCTGCCGGGGCTCTCAGCAAGAGAACACGGAAACCAGACAGGAGGGGTCCAGGCTCCCCAGTCTCCGCCCACTCCACCCACTTCCTGACAGCAGCAGTTCCCAGACGCCCAGGGAGATGGACAAAGGCAAGTGGTGCATGGGGCTTTCCAGAGCTTTCCTGGTTCAGAGGGACTCAACTGCCCTTAAATCCTTCATCTGAGGCTGGGAAGGCAGACCCTCCCCACACTCGGGCACGTCAGCACCCACACTTGAGCCAAGGGCTCAGCTCGGGGGGAGCTGACCTGGCTGCCAGCCCCACACCAAACCCGCCCAAAGGGCGAGGACCCGATGTCTGTCCAGCTGGACCTGTCATACCACCCACAAAGTGGTCTCCAGGAAAGACAAAAGGAAACGAAAGGCCCAAAGCTGACCACAAGTTTGCAGGACTCCAAAGTGTGGAGGAGCCACCCCCGGTGGGAGGGACCCCGTGGGCCCCGGGCAGGGCCACACTGGCAGGGCCGCAGGACCCCATGCCGTTGCTGGGAGCTCTGCGGGGTCTGAAAGGTTGTCAAGGTGAGAAGTTAAAATGCAAAAGAGACCTTGAGCTCATGCAGGCCAGGCCCTGCAAAGATGCTGGGAGGCAGGAGGGAGGCAGGAGGGAGGCAGGAGGGGGCCCAAGCCCAAGAGGAGGGCGGGAGGAGGCCCTCGGAGCTGTTAGAATAGGCTCACCTACCAAGAGATGAGGCTTAAAAGACCCTCCTTTAAACACTGCAGCTGAACAAAAGTTGGGGCGGGGGGCAGGCCTTGGAGAGCCAAGGGCATGGGGCCAGGCTGCACCCCTGGGAAGGCAGCAGGGAGGCCAGGCCCAGCCACACCTCACACTCCCTGGTCGGCACCGTGTGGCCTGGGGCTCCCACCAGACCCCGTACGTGGGACGCTTCACGTACCCGGCTGCCCACCAGCCTGATCTTCCTTCTGCCTCCTTTCTGCTGCTGTGCAGGCCTCTTCTCACGCGGGAGGGACAGGGTGGAGACATGCGCTGCCTGGGGGGGACACGCTGTGGTCCTGGCCACGCCCTCAGAGCCCCCAGGCCCCTTGTGACACTGCAAGGGCCCACAGTGGGAGAGAAGAGCCCTCTCCTGGGTCCGCCCCACCAGCCTCCCCCGTGGCCCAGATGGGAAGGGTATGGAAGGGATGGGGGGAGGGGCCGCCTGCTGTCGCAGCCGGGCTCACCCCAGGCCCCAGGGAGCAGGACTGGGAGGGGAAGGGACTCTGCGGCAAGCAGGGCACGGGGGCTCCAGGTCCGGCCAGAGCTAAGGGCTCCAGCGCAAAGGCTCCAGGTGAGGAGCTGTGTCCCTCCTGCCCATCCCCAGCCCCAGCTCAGGCTCCCAGAAAGGGCTGACCTCTGGGGCAGCA